GAACTTCGAATCTAGTACAACCCTTAAAGCCGTTCATTTTGCTTCAAATTGTTCTTTACCATCATCAGTTCATGCCATTCCTCAATGCTTTCATAGTAGATAATTCATGGATGCATCCCTTTAGCTCATGTTTGAAAATAGATTTCTTATGATATATATGGGAAAGCATCTTTGAAAATTTTTTCTTTATATGCCAAAGGGATAGACGACATCGAGATTTTGAAAAAGCTTCCATCACAACAGACTCTACAGCTAAATCTTGAGTAGTAATTATCAAGACTGGTGCTTTTCCATGCATCCTGTCTAGCCAAGTTTCAAATAAACAAATGAAGCTTTCCTCAAATTCATCTTGCAATAAAAGCACAACCAAATAAAATTGATTGGTAATCATTATTTAATCATACAAAAGGAGCTAATGGCATACTATGCTAATTAGTTTTATATGTGGTGTCAAATGTAATGACATCGTGAAAATACTCACAAGCCAATCAGGATCGAGCATCTACCCAAAAAAAATTTATCATATGAGCATTACCATCTCATTGAATTACATAAAAGAAATTAGGATTGTTAGCTTACTTTTTTCAAAATAACATAAGACAACTTAAGTATCTTCAACATCTAAGTTTTTCCTCCTTAAATCTCTAAGATGATCCCAGCAATTTGTACATGAAAATTGTTGGTCAGCATTACTAAATAATGCTACTACTTTTCCTGTAGGAATTCCTTCTTCATTAAATTTCTCAACAAGACTTTTAGCTACAAACATCAATTTCTTATGGCATCTAAGATAAGATATACTTTTAGGACTAATCATATCATGATTAAGTACATTCAAAAATGATTTTACATCCCACTTCTTGCTTTCTTTATCGTTGCTACCTTAAACAATGCTCCATAACCAATTCTTAAAGTTGAACACCTCCATTTAGTTATTTTGACATAATTTTGAGTGTCATGATTCTCATTGACTTTTTCTTTATATTGAACTTCCTTGGAACAAACATATATTCTACTTACTACTTTGTTACTTCAAGAGCCTATTTTACTTGATCGAATGCAAATATCAAAACCTGGTTCCTTTGCAAAGATTTTATAAAACATTTCAATCCCTTCCAAATAGTCAAATTGCAAAATTGCATTTCAATAAAAGGGCTCTGATTCTTTGACTGTACTAACAAACACTAATGTATTCTCTAAGTTAACTTGTATAGTACTATATTTGTTAATTAGTGCATTTTGCTCATTTACCTCTATATTTTGAATATCACCAATTAGTTAGGCATCCTCTTTTGATGACATTTCCATGATAGATTTTGCTTCACATGTAATTTAGAAAAAAAAAAGGAAAAAAATGAAAATTAAAGAAGTTATAAAATTGAGGTTTGGTATTGATATTTCCTTTTTTTAATCATCTAATTAAAGATAAAGCACCAATAAAAGTAATATATCATCCACCATATTATGTTTATAAGAAATTAACCTACATAAAAAATTTCATGGAAAAAAAAAAGCTTGTTGAATAAAATCTTAAGAAATCCATGTTAAGTCTTCCTAAAACTAATTTCATTCCTTTAAAAATGAAATGAATCATGAACATAAGTACCTCTTTTGTAGCAATGTTATCAATAATCCTAATGGAAATTAAAAAAATAAATAGGCAAAATATTATTTTTCTCGAAATGAAAACTAAAAACTCTCTCTTTACATCCCATTACTCCAAATCTTTATGCCAACTTCTTAGATTATGAACTTTGTTAAATAAAATGGACAAGCAAAAAGAAAATTAGAAAACTTTAGTAGTTTTGCCTTAGTGAGGAGACATGACTTTGATTTTGCACTAAGCTTTGAATTGGTAAACATGAAAAAATAAAATGAGTTGTCAGAAAAGGGAAAAAGGAAGAGACGTTCAAAGAAGGTGAAATTGGGGAAAGCGAAAGAGACGTGAAAACAAGAGGGAAAGGGCTTGATAAGATTATAAAGTAGGATTTAATCTTAGCCTTTTTATTTATTTTCAATCTAATGGACGAAAAGGGTGCAAAACTTGCTAGTTTTACTCTGGTGCAATTGAAACTCTCTCTCTCATGTCCGTGTGTGTATATATATACACACACACGAATCAGTTTATATCATTGTAAATTTTATATTTTTATTTTTGAATCAAAATGATTAAAATTAAAAATATTATTTTAAATTAAATTAATTATTAATTTAATTTTGATGTAAAAAATTATAAAATATATTGACGTATAAGTGAATTATTCTATCTAACTACCTTATAAAATTGTCTCTAACTCATCCTTAGCACATCACGTCAGTTGTTTTACTTTAAATGAAATGCCATGTTTTGCCATTTTATAAGTTTGTTTTTATGACTTTTCTTATTTGTCCTTTATGTAAAACAGTAAATTTTTATGATTTTTTTTATTACTCCTTTATGCAAATAGTAAACTATTGCTTTTGTTTATGTCGTTTCAAGATTGCTTCGGTTTGTTGCCGTTGTTTTTACCCTATGTCTTAGTTTTTTTTTTTTTACCTCATTTGGATTTTTTTTTTTTGTTTTTAATGCTTGTTTCCAGTTTTTATCTTTCTCATTGAGTGTCAATTTGGAATTTATTTATTTTTAATGGGGGTGGATGAAGGGAAGGCGAATGATAGAGTTTTGGGAAAAATGATTTGGGGTAGATTTTGATGCTGTATCGAAGAAGGAGGGCAAGTTTCATCGATCGAAAACTGACAAGTTTTGTTCAATTGGTGGGTTTCTTTGGTCCATTTTGGTCATTACATGATTAACTAGTTTGGTTTTATAACATTTTAGTTGTGTTTATTGGTTTAAAATTCCCCACAAATAAGCTTGAATTTTTTAGGGGGGACAATTCTTTCTTTTGCTACTTCATTTTTTGTGGGTACTATTGTATTTTGTTTGTGAATATCTCAGTTAAAGCTAGATGGTTGAATGAACGGCATGGTTTCCTTTTGAAGTATTTGGATTTTTATTTGGTAAATAAGAGTTTCTGCACTTTATGGTTAACGTATATGGCAAATTTTTTATCACATCTTTTGGGTATTTTAGGATTTTTTTAAAATTTTATTAGACATTTTCATAGAAAATAAGTTGTTTGTATATTGTTTGATGGTTGATTTGTATCATCTCTCATGGTTTTTTTTTTCAAAGACATAATTTGGCGTAAATGATAAACTCTGTTAAGGACTCATGTTAAAATTAAGTAGCTATCAATGTTGGTAATGATTTCCTGCAACGTGCTGTATTGCAATTTGTTTTTACACTATTTATTTATGTGAGATAACCAATCTAAAATTTTTTTAACCTCATTTATGTTTTTTTTTTTTAAGTTTAAATAAGGGGTGTAAGTGATTAAGCGTATTAGAGATTTCTATTAAATATGATTAGATGTAAATATAAAAGTTAGTAATAACTTTCTGTCGTGTATTATTTTATTAAAGATGTGAGAGATTCAGGTTTAAATGTTTTGTCAAATTGATTATACGATAAAAGTTGTAGTATCTCGTGGTAATTCATGGTTTGCTTTGGAGGCTATGTTTCTAGGTTCTTCCTTATCCTTATTTTAGGAGCCTTATTTTTTTTCTGTTGTTTTAATGTTATAGTGCCACTATTTTAGCTTTTTCAGTTCAGGGTTGTTGTTCTGTGGTCATCGTATTCTTTATATGTTGGTTTGGTTTTAGATTTATTTTCTTTGATTTTTGATCAAGTTTTTCTTCTTTTTTTTTTTAGTGTTAATTGACTTCGATTGTTGTTTCTCCCTTTTTTTTTTTTTTTGTTATTTGGACAATTTTCACAATTTTTGTCTGATCATTTATTATTTGAATTCTTCTTTACATATGCTTGGAGAACCTTGGCTTGATTTGCCTTAACTATATTTTAGGAAATCTTTCTTTATTTTTGTCATTTAAGGTTGCTTTCATTTTGTGGAAAGATGATTTATTATTTGAGAGATAATCTTTGTAGGTGAGAATTAATTTGATTGGAAATATATATATTTTTGGCTTTTTCTCGTTAATTATGAAGGCCGGTCATTTTTATGTTATGATTATTGTTATTTCCTAAATGTTTGTCTATTGCTTGTCAATAAATCAATAAGAGGATTTTTTCTATCTTTAAGTTCACAATTATTAGTATCATTAATGTCATTTAATTGTTCAATTGTTTTTGTTTTCTTTGATGTGTCATAGAGTTTTGATTCTATTTGGTTGATCTTTGCCCCATAAAATAATTAGCTATTTTCTCACTCATATTTATATTTCATTTATCTTTTATGTTTGCTTTTTTGTCAGTTTACTTTTTTGTTTTTTAAAGAGCTTTAAGTTACTGGCTAATACTCAAATTTTTTTATTTTTTTCTTAATGCTGAACATTAATATCTTTTTTGTCTTAACTTATTTATGATTTTATATTGACTCACTTACAAGAATATATTTAGTTTTAATGTATAAGATTTAGGTTGCCTGTTTTTCTTTTTCCATTTACCTTTGTTTGTCTTATATGTTTTGTTATTTGTAATTTTTTATTCTTTATCTGTGATCTTATTTTAGTGATAATTTCTAGATCATGGTAGTTGAAAGCTTTGTCTATCATGATTTGTTTTTTAATTTGTCTTTTCTTTTTTAATTGAGCTGTCCCTTGTTGAAGTTGTGATTCTTATGTTTAGTGGAAATAGATGGTCTTCATACAAATTAAGCTTGATCATGAGAAAAATTTTGATGTGTCAACCGATATGACTTTATTCATAAATATCTCTAATGAACTTTGTGGAATGAATGGTTCAAGATATATTTAGAGTCAATTTCATATTAAAATTAAAATATAAATAAGTTGAGAAAACCATTACAGTATACACAGACGTAAACTATATATATATATATATATATATATATATCAACACCACAAAACAAAGTTTTATTTTCTGCATGTCCTTTAATAATTATTGAAAGAAAAAATCATTTTTATAATAATTACTTGAACGGACATTTGTCGATATAATTAAAACTGTAACACCAATGTATACAATAGAATTATTATTTAAATCAATCTGTATTGAAGATAGCTTCTGGCAAGACCATTAAGTTTAGTAAATTACATTGTAAAAATCGTAATTACTTCATTGGGTATACATGATGAGATAAACCAAAATTTGTTCGATCCTATATTTGAGCCACAATTCAGATTCTAGTTGACAGATTTGACTACACATTCAACTGTTCAAAGAACAAACCAACCTCACCATAAAACTCACAGGGCATCCAGTAGTGGAAGCTTTGGAAAGTGCCGTTGAGAACACACGAGACACAAGCCATACAAGACAGCATTCATGAACTTCATAAACCTTTAGACCCAGGAAGGTCAATCCACTGCAATTGAATTTCCACTTCACCACGCTCCACATTTCTCAATCTGAAGCAAAGGTCTTGGACAACCTTCCCTTCATTCAAATAAATGGTGCTCTCTTCGGCCAGGCAGTTGTTCCTGCCTGGTTGCAATCTTGATAAAATGGTTCCACTTGGGATTTCTCCCAAATTCATTTTCAAGGCTTCTATATATGTCCTGATGTCAAACTCAGCATCTCCCATTTTGTCATCCTTGCTAAAAGTGTCATGGTCATACACTTTCTGAAAACATGCAGAAACAGAAAACACCTTAAACAAACTAATACCAGAAGATGACCTCCTACATTAAAATGCCAAAAGAACAAAACATGATTTTAGCCAAAAAAGAGGAAAAAGAAAAGAAATGAGTTGGCAATGTGTGGTTGAAATTATCAGTTAGTTTTCAATAAATTTAAGAGTAGATATGGTTTTGCCCAGTTAGGAATGGAGCCACAATTTTGATTCAAACGGGTACACCAAAGCATACAAATTTATTTTTATGTTTTTTCTTGATCTTTCAAAACAAATAAGTTACACTAGGAATTTCTTTCGATTAAATTTAATGCAGTTTTGTTTAAATATTTTAATAATATTAATAATATTTCCAATGTTTCTCTGTCCCTATCTTTCATATGATATTTCACAAATAATTACTTATAAGAAATTCCCAAGCATTCCATCAGTTTTATTCAGTTTAGTTGCCAGCAGAAAAAACATTATCACTAAGAAACTAAAAGTAAATGAGGCAACTAGAAAATAATAGGAAAATATCTGGTCCAGAAGAAGTATAACAAAGTAGCTTCGGTCATTGTTGGTTAGGATATCACGATGATAAAGCACTAAGGTCATATTCCCTCCTTCCCTTTATTTTGTTGATTTAGGTGGGGGAATTGGGGGAGGTGTAACTGACATTATTTCACCAGATCATGTATGCTATTCTTCTATGATTTGACCGTGTTTTGCTGTCTAGCAGCAATCTAGACGTCAGCCGAAAGCCAATTAAATAGGAAACCACTGAAACAGAAAATTGCTTCAAACTAAATTTCTGATAACAGTGTGTAGTTCCCTGATAGTTAACAACAAATCCAATTCGGAATGTTGAGATTGATTAAGGTTCAGACGTTTTCACTAATAAAACCTTTGCAAAGAACGGACATAATTAGCATCATCAAGAAGGCAACAAAATGACTCTAGACCTCTAAAAGATCATTTTAGACATTAAAAAGTGCGCATTGAATTGGCAAACAGCAATTTAAGCATATCAAATCAGTTGGGTTCTTTTAAGAAATATCAGAGAATCAGCAATTAAGCTTGAAGTAAAAATGAATTTCAAATTTTAATCAAGTAAGAGAATCAAAATCATCAGAACACAAGCTATCTAACAATTTAAAGATCAAGGATCAGCCTATCAAATAGTACAAAAAGCAAAATATCTACTCTAAATCTCTAATCACTAGCCCAAAGTCCACACATGCATGCTTATACATATAGGTAACAAGCATCGTTATGCATTGGTTGAAATTTGGTTTCAATTAAATCTAGAAGCTGCAAAACAGGGGGAATGGTTATCTAGGAATAAATTTAGCTTTAGAAGCCAAAGGTTGTCCTATATAATGCAAGAGTTGGTTATTGAAATGGCTTTCCGTTTTAGCATTACATTGATAATAGTAACTAGTAGACAAAAGACTTACCAGCTTGATTGGAACACTAGGATCTGTTATAGAAAGAGTTAAATCCTCATTCCATTCAGGATTGACATCCTTCTTTATTACACGAGTCTTCAGTTTCTGCAAGAAATATTTAGATACAAAATTAGAACGACAAGCAAGTTGCTCAAAAATGACTCCAAAAATAATTACATGAAATGGAACTTAAAAAAATCTAGTTACGTTTTGATTAGTGTTATTCCCGTTTACTTACATAACACGACAAGGATTCGAATCTTTTTTTGTTTTTTTTTTTTAAAAAAAAACCAAAATTTCCTTTCTCTTTCTTTTTTTTTTTTTTTCCAAATTTTAATGGTATATAACATTTCAAGTTGCTATTGGATTTTGGTAAGGACCCAAAATTTAAAAGTTCTGAGAGGTCAATTATATTGTATCAAAGTAATCTTCATAAATAATAACATTTAAAAAAAAAGTCCATGCAAATTTGTTACTTATAAAACAAGAAGATCATCATTATTACTATAAATTTTTAAGGTGAAGATCATATTGAAAACAGCAGAATAGATTTGTTAAAACCGAAAAAGAAAGAAAAACTAAAAGAGAAATTAACAAGGGCAACAGAAGAAGAAAAAAAAAAGAACAGAAACAGACCTGTCTGCCCATCTTAACAACAACGTAAGGATCGCTGCTTCGGACATCACGTACGGCAAGGTTTACGCCACGTTTGACGCGAATCCTCAGCAGACCCAACAAGTTGTCCATCAACGATGAGCTCCTCTCGCTTGGTGGTGTTTTTGGCGACCCTGTCATTTTTTTCCTTTTTGATGATCTCCCTCCTCCTTTATACCCAAAAGAAAAAATGTTTCTCTTCCCTATTCTATCAAATAATAATAAACAACCATGATAAATAGTTTACACGACTTTCATTTTATTTTATCGTTTATTTTAATTTAAAAGTAATATCAGAATAAACTCAATTTTCCTGAGGCGGTGAGACTGACCTGATTTGCCTTTTCTTCGCCGTCGAGAGAAATTTCTTTTGGATATGCGGGAAGCTAGGAAGTTTTGGACGAAGCGCAGGAGATGCTGGAGCCCGGAGGTGGGGGATGTGGGGTAATATCCGAGGAGGGTGACCGGTAGACCCGGAACACGTTGAGAAATAATTGGATGGGATTTTTTTATGGACGTTGACCTCCGACAAACTATGACAAAGGCGTAAAAGACGCTTTGTATGTCTGGAGCTTCAATGATGACGTGGCATCAAATTACTGATTGTTATCGTAGGGAATCTTCATTACTACAAAATTTAATCTTTCTACTTTAACCATCAAAAATTTAATCTTCCTACTATTTTGATTTATCAATCTCAATCCTATTATAAAATGTTGTTAATTTATCATCGTTTAAATTGATGATATAAATTTTGATTAATTGACGTGTACATTGATCGAGTTTATGTAACTTATTAAAAAATTTCATGATGCTAATGTGTAAAAAATAATGCTCCATGACCAAAAAAAATTTATTTCGATTTAATAATCTTAATTCAATCATTAATTCTATTTAAATTTTTATATTAAAACGTTAATGTGACATTTGATCTAATAATATGTTCATAAACTTTTTCTACATGATATTTTGATTGTTGTACATTTAAATGGCATGTTACATGGCTTGACATTTAATTCACATTAAATTTAAGCTTTTTTATTTAAAAAAAACCTTAATTAAATTAAAAGAAGTAATTGTTGGAGAAAAGACAAACCCAAATTCTAACATTATTCAAGCCTAAACTCCGTTAATGCCACTATGCTAGCCACCGACATTGATGTTAGTCATTGTGCATCAACGTTGAAATGTCTCTAAAATTTACTGGAAAACTCCCCCAATCTCTTTTACAAATTTATTGACTTAGATATCTCTAAAAAAAAAAAACCCTTTTTTTCATGAAAAACCAAAAAAATCTAAATATAAAAAACCTAGATCAACAGTCGCCCCCACTTGCGATGGTCACTAAACTTTCTTCGAGTCTTCCCCCCATTCTTTTCTTGGTTTTCACTATTAGGATTTGAAAAATAATTTCTAAAACCTCTTAAATCTTGAAACTCCCAAAGTTCTAGCTTTCACCAACTTTCATTGAACTTTCTCCAATATTGGTAGCCAAATACACAATAACCAAAAATAAATCTAGTCACAATTTTCACTTAGCCACAATAAATATAAAGTAAGAAAAACACACATAATATAGTTGGGATTAAATCCTTGGGTACAACGATGGATAATCCCATGACTGTTGGGTATAGTACTACAATTTGGATTATATGAAATTTGGACTTGAGGTTTTAGTTTATATGGATTTTTACCCAAATGGAAAAAGTTAGAGAGATATGAGGATGATGTTAGTTTTTGTAAATAATTTAGAAAAAAAAGTTTAGGTTAGTTTGGATGAGAGATTAAGAGTTTGGACAAGTGATGCCCAACTATGTCTTTGTAAGAAAATGGATGAGACATAAGAAAAAACTTAATTGTTCAATTTGAATTCATCAATTAAAAGAAGAATAGGTTTTTTTAGCATTTAGGGAGCCATCAGTTATGCACCATTGATGATTAAAAGATAGTTTAAGTCTCAACAGTTCATTCCAATGACTCGAGGGCTAGATCAGATGGAGTTTAACTATGGTACAAAAGGCTGTATAGCTAGATTGTGCATCATTACAAAAGCATAGGGCAGACATTCTAATCAGAATTAGGCAAATATACAGATAATGTGACCCCATGGTATCTAGTTTAGAGAGCTAAATGAGTTAATGATTTGATGATACCATCTAGGCATATATACAGATGACATGACCAGTAGAATTAGAGATTGCTAAGTTGGAGTTTGAAACAGAGATAGAAAAAATAAAGAAAGAAAATTAGAGATTATAAGAAGAGATAGGTCAACTAAAGTATGAGGAGAATGCACAAAAAGATAGGTTAAAGAAGATGACAAAAGAGACGGACTTGGCTCAGAGTGATCTCAAAGAGTTGCACTTGGAAAACTAAAGACTTAGGGCTGGGTTAAAGAATAAAGAAAAAGAATGCAAGCATCGAGAAAAAGTAAAGTAGCTCGAGGAAAAAATGCAATTCTGGAAATGTAAGGCCCGAGAGAATGAAGATAAGAATGTTTTGATATTCTAAGAAAAGAGAGATTTGCATATAGCCTTCGTTGCAAACAAAAAGAAGATAAGTAAAAGCTAATAAGAGAATGAAAAACTAAAAGATGAGCTGAGAAGGGAAAAGAAAAGGCATTTAGACACTCAAGAGGAAAAAAATGCACATGGTATAGAGATCAAAGCCCTAGAGCAATAGTTACAAAAAAACAAAAACCACATTGCTCTTTTACACAAAAAATACAAGAAAGGGAGGTCGAATGGAAACAAGTGTGCAATAAAGAGATAGAGGCTTGGGAGTAATAGAAGACTGATAGTAAAAGGAAACAAATATATATTGACCACTTTAATACTCAAATCCAAAAGGTAGTTAGATAAGTTGAGGTGATGATGGAAAAGACAGAGTCCTTAAAGCAAGAAGTCATTCCCACTAGCAATCACAATTCGCTTTTTTTGGATTTCTTGGTTGAGGTCAAGGGACAATATAAACAAGTTTAACATTTTTATGACTCTAGTTTTAAAATGGTTCATGATGTATAAAACATGGAATTTTTTGAATGAATAAAAATTTTTTTGACTTGAATTATCTATAAATGAATATATCTTAAAAGTATGCTTAAATGAGCTTATGAAAAAGGATGATGGTTATGAATATACGTTCATCAAACTTTTGAGCCGAAAAGAGTATCCTTAAATAACTCGGCTTGAATATAGAAGGGGGATTTAAGTTCATTTTCAACAATAATAAAATTTGACTTGCATATCATGCATTTTTGTTTGAACATTATTTTTCATGCCAGCTTGAAACAAGGAATGATAGTTGTAAGTATACTTTCATTAAACCTTCAAAGCAATGAGATATATTTAAAAGTCTTACCTAAATATTGAATGTTTTTTAAACTATTTCTTAAGGCCAATAATAAAAATTCAATAAAATGTTCGAGGATAATGCACCCTAAGGAACAAGATCAGTTGGTTTTTTGTATGTACAATACATAAGCTCACTTAAGGATCATAGAGAATGAAAATGCTAGCCGAATTAATAGGATGGAAGGGCCTATGAAGAAATTAAAGAAACAGTTACAGGGATGCAACGAAATATAGACAAACAGTTTGTGAAATAAAAATAAATATTAGTAGGATTGTCTAAAGAAAAAATGGTTGTTGAGATGCATGAAGTAAGGGAAGAGACAGCAGTAGAAAAACCAGCAGTGTATGCAAGGTTCACATATCCTTAACCTTATGTTACTCAAGCATTATCGACCATTTATCAATAATATGTTAGTATTTTTGTAAAGCCATCTCCTATCCAGATGAACGATAATCTTGGATCCATGTCTTTTGTCTCTATTACTGTGCCAAATCTTAATGATCCTAAAGAATAAGAGAAATTAAAAGAGGTATTTGAGTATACAAGAAACATTGAAATGAAGGGCAATTATCTATAAATGAATATATCTTAAAAGTATGCTTAAATGAGCTTATGAAAAAGGATGATGGTTGTGAATATATGTTCATCAAACTTTTGAGCCGAAAAGAGTATCCTTAAATAACTCGGCTTGAATATAGAAGGGGGATTTAAGTTCATTTTCAACAATAATAAAATTTGACTTGCATATCATGCATTTTTTGTTTGAACATTGTTTTTCATGCTAGCTTGAAACAAGGAATGATAGTTGTAAGTATACTTTCATTAAACCTTCAAAGCAATGAGATATATTTAAAAGTCTTACCTAAATATTGAATGTTTTTTAAATTATTTCTTAAGGCCAATAATAAAAATTCAATAAAATGTTCAAGGATAACGCACCCTAAGGAACAAGATCAATTGGTTTTTTGTATGTACAATACATGAGCTCACTTAAGGATCATAGGAATGAAATTGCTAGCCGAATTAATAGGATGAAAGGGCCTATGAAGGAATTAAAGAAACAGTTGCAAGGATGCAACGGAATATAGACAAATAGTTTGTGAAATAGAAATAAATATTAGTAGGATTGTCTAAAAGAAAAAGGGTTGTCGAGATGCATGAGGTAAGAGAAGAGACAGTAGTAGAAAAACCAACGGTGTATGCAAGATTCACATATCCTTAACCTTATGTTACTCAAGCATTATCGACCATTTATCAATAATATGTTAGTATTTTTGTAAAGCCATCGCCTATCCAGATGAACGTCAATCTTGGATGCATGTCTTTTGTCTTTATTACTGTGCCAAATCTTAATGATCCTAAAGAATAAGAGAAATTAAAAGAGGTATTTAAGTACATAAAAAACATTGAAATGAAGAGCAATTATCTATAAATGAATATATCTTAAAAGTATGCTTAAATGAGCTTATGAAAAAGGATGATGGTTGTGAATATACGTTCATCAAACTTTTGAGCCGAAAAGAGTATCCTTAAATAACTCGACTTGAAAATAGAAGGGGGATTTAAGTTCATTTTCAACAATAATAAAATTTGACTTGCATATCATGCATTTTTTGTTTGAACATTGTTTTTCATGCCAGCTTGAAACAAGGAATAATAGTTGTAAGTATACTTTCATTAAACCTTCAAAGCAATGAGATATATTTAAACGTCTTACCTAAATATTGAATGTTTTTTAAATTATTTCTTAAGGCCAATAATAAAAAATTAATAAAATGTTCGAGGATAACGCACCCTAAGGAACAAGATCAGTTGGTTTTTTGTATGTACAATACATGAGCTCACTTAAGGATCATAGAGAATGAAAATGCTAGCCGAATTAATAAGATGGAAGGGCCTATGAAGAAATTAAAGAAACAGTTGTAGGGATGCAACGAAATATAGACAAACAGTTTGTGAAATAGAAATAAATATTAGTAGGATTGTCTAAAGGAAAAAGGGTTGTCGAGATGCATGAGGTAAAGGAAGAGACAGCAGTAGAAAAACCAGCAGTGTATGCAAGGTTCACATATCCTTAACCTTATGTTACTCAAGCATTATCGACTATTTATCAATAATATGTTAGTATTTTTGTAAAGCCATCGCCTATCTAGATGAACGTCAATCTTGGATCCATGTCTTTTATCTCTATTACTGTGCCAAATCTTAATGATCCT